AGCGCGCGCGCTACCTGCTGCAGCGGGCGCTGGAGGTGTCTGCGGAGCGCGGCGCTGACTGCACCTGCGGCCCTGGGGACGGAAACGGTACCTGCCCCTCTGTCCCCAGTCCACCCCTGCTTGGCCTGGAGGGGGAGGGGCGCCTGGGTCCGCAAACCAACGCTCGTCGTCGTCTCCATCCACGAGGACTTTGGTTATTCCCATGGTCCCCATAGCGTCCAAAAACCTGGGGACCCTTACCGCGTGGGTGTTCTCTGAAGTGACACACACCACTGCAGCCGAGGGCGCCCTGCATTTCCCAGCCTTCCCGCCCCAGAGCAGGTGGAATGCCGCGTGCGTGCACTAATTTAGGAACGCAGTGGGGCCGCGCAGGCTTTCACGGAGCAAGTGCGCGCTGTAGTCCATTCGGATCGAAAGGAAGGGCCGGCTGCCATCGAATCAAAGGGAGACGGTTTACCTGCACTGACCAGTGAACTGGTCCTTGAGTGTTAAAACTGTTACAGAAACTACGTTTTTTTTTTTTTCTCTCTGAAATTTCCCTTGGCAATTCTCTTAGCAGGACTGACTAATATTTGGCAACCTTTTGAGGGTATTTTTGCCATTGATTTAATAGAATGAGATTTTAAGTTTATTTTTTAACTTTGTTACATTTCGAGCTGTGCTTCCTACTGCGTTATTACAGAACCCGAGTCCATGAAATAGCGAGGCTTCCGGTGCGTTCGGCATGTTTGGGAAACACTTGCAGGTAGGAAAAATAATCAGTTTACTACGTAGATCTTGATGGCTTTGTGCATCGAAATGTGTGAAAACATACTCGTCATCTTAAATCCATTTTTGAGTTATCAAAGTCCAAAGTAGATTAATTCAAATTTGTCTTAATAGAAAATTTCTACTTTTTTCATCGGTACCTGCGTATTCATTACTGGTAAAGAATTTCATTTGGCTGAAGTTGTGAGCAGATTAGATTTTCGTTCATATAAGTTTATAACATTAGATAGTGCATATTTTAACAGTCCACAAATTGATGATCATCCGATGAAAGTTTTCACCAGGAAACATTTTAAAAATTACGAAAGTTAAACACTCATTTTAGAGTCATTCCGCAATGTTTTAAATAGTTTTTCCATGCCTGTCCCCCCACCCCCATTTCCTTCATTTTAGAGAGCAACCTCTTTTAGCTGATTATTTTGGTATTTAGTATTTGATATTCACCCCTTTGTCTTGAAATAAACTAGCTATAGCATAAAATCCATTGTCACAGTCACCATTTTCATTAAATGCGAGGTCAGCCTTTACAAAATCGTGATTAGGAAAACATCGTTCACAGGTGATCTACGTAGTAAACGGATTATTTTTCGTACCTGCAAGTTTTTTTCCCAGAATTATGTGATTTAAAAATTTGTTTGGTTCCGTCCTTATCATGCACCACTTATTCAGCCCCAACTTCTTTATGTCTCAGCCTTTCCTGTACAAAGTCAGATCATCAGGCGTATTACAAGTTTTCCTGAAAACTCCCAGAATCCGCTTCCGTGTCCAGCTGGGTGCCCGGCTGACCTTCCTAGGCCTGTCCTCACCGTCATCCTGGGGTTTATGCCCTTCACCTGGGTCCTGTGCTGAAGCTCTTGTTGCCTGGAGTTGGTAGCTGCTGCCTCGGTTACTTTCGGTGTAGGGCATGTGTTCCCTGCGCCTCGTGCCCGAGGGTACCGGGGAGACCCGAGGAGAAGAGCCGGTGACTGTGATGGGCTCTTTGGGGGTTCCTGGGTTTCTGAGCTATCAAATTAGCTCATACCTGGCCTTTAAAAAGTCGTCAGAATTTCATTTTTTAACTGCTGTTTTGGTGGTCATCACTTCCGCCTGTGCTCGGCCACAGGTGGAAACGTTGGTCCTGTCCTTGGAAAGGTTTCTGCCCTTTGCAGTTCAGATCCCCTGGTTGCACTGACTTTAGCTCGCAAAAGTTCAGGGTTTTGTAGATTCTGCAGGTTTTTCTGTTTGTTAGTATGGCAGTAATGTCCTCTTGGAAAACGTTTCCATCCAAAAATCTGAAGGCACCGATCTTGTCTTGGCAGCTCGGCGCCCTGTTGCTGCTGAGGAGTCAGCCATGCTGAGCCGTGGTCTGTTTCTTCGCGCAGTTTGGAGGGTCTGTGTCTGCAGCGTGCGGAAGTTCACGGGGCCGTTTTCGTCCCCACGCTGGCGCTGGCTGGGCCTGTTTGGTCGGGACGTCACGTTCTTTGATTCTGGGAACTTTTCTTGAATTACCCTGGTTCCCTCCCTCTCTGTTTCTCGTGCTGGGAGCATCCTTTCTTTCCGATTTTCTGTGATCATCTCGCTCTGCTTCCTGGGTAATTTCCTCAACTTCATTTCCTTTCCTTTGCATTTCTTAGTTTCACTGTTAAAGTTTTATTCTCGCGAGATGCTTTTGTTCTTGGAATGTCCCCTTTTTGATAGTATCCTGTTCTGGCGTCATCACGGCCCTCTCTGAAACCCTTTAAGATACTAGCGAACGTTCTTTTTAGGTTTTCTTATTCCTGTATTGTTTTGTCTTCTGAGAACTGCCTTTTGTTTTGTTTGTTCGCATTGGCCCCGATCGTTAACGTGGAGATTCCTCCAGATGTCTGGGGATCCTTAGAGTCCTGTTTATATTTCAGAATAAACCGAAAACCAGGTTTAAAGCCCTGAGCCCACGAGAGGTGCTTGTGGACTGTGACTCTCAGTATGAGGCGATCTGGCCACGCCGTTTCACTGGGAACCACTGCAGGATTTTCAGGTCTTCATCTTGGGCCGGCCGGTTCCCATGGCATCTGCCAGACAGTGAAGGCCCGGGCAGATTCTGGGACTTGAGGGCCCAGATGGTGGTGGGGCAGGTAGAAGGGGAGGCCTCAGCACCCAGCGAGCATACGTGTCCACCTGCTTCTCCTCTACACATGGTCCTCATCCCTGCCCTCCCCTGGGTCCGGTGCATCTCATTCAGAGAAGTTCGACCTCCAGAGAAGAGAGTCCAGTCTTTTTCCTGTTCAGGATAAAAACACAGAGAAGGGGCCTGGATCTGATTGTTTCTTAAATACACCGAACAAATCCTGTTTAATTTAGCCTCGCTTTCTCTTCCACTTACAAAAGTAACTTTTGCTGTCAGTTCCTCAGGTTTGGGGCGATTTTGTAAATCACCTATTTTCTTGGTTTTCCACCTTAATACTCATTTTTCTTGAGTCTGCTTTGTTTTCATCAGATTTTCAGATTCTAAGTTTCACGGCTCTTGTCCGCTTCTCTTTTCTCCATTATTCTGGGGTTTTGCCTTTGAAAAATCCTTTACTGTTACAATGAGGTTCTTGAGAGAAAGTAGAGTTTCTCTGTGAAAATCTGTCACTACTCAGAATTCCAAAACGGTAATCTACTTAGAAAAACAAGCTTCTCTCGAGGTTCCTCGTGGCCCGGCTCCGGCGCGGGCTCGGAAGCAGGCGTCCTCCGTGTTAAGACAGCGTGTGGTCGTAGCTGCGGGAAGCACGTCCATGAAGGAGCGTGTGGAATTTGTAAAAGGAGAAGCTAATTTTCTTTTTTAAATTATAACAGGCCCAAGTCTGTTTTGGTGGTCTGAGAAGAAAAAAGACGAGCTGCTAAAGTTTTGGGAAAACTATATCTTAATTATGGAAACTCTGGAAGGAAACCAGGTAAGTGCTGGATTTTAACATCTCACGTGGATCCGGTTTTAATTTTTTTTGAACGTTCTGTAAGGCAGTGCAGAAGGACCCCGTGGACACAGTGTGAACAAGGGCTGTTTGTTTTCTGGGTGTTAATGTGATTCCACATTGAATGGCGAGCTGCCGGACAGTGAGGCCTGGTCAGCAAATTAAAGGAAATTTAAGAATACATTCAATTGACTTAAATTATCATCAGAGAATTTAGTCTTGTTTGATCTTCCCGAACACATTTACTTCTAAAGTGTTAGTGTTTTGACATTGTGAATATTCTCCAAAGAAATCCATGCTTAGGAAAATTTTGCTTAAAGCAATTCTGAGGCAAATTGTTAAGTAAATAATCGCCCTTTAACTCTGTAGGTTTTTCTTTCTTTCTTTTTTTTTAAAGTTCTTACATCAGTTCAAACCTGAGAATGGAAACGCGAAGCATCGTTATCAGTCGACTTTGGGTCAGTTTTTGTAGAATCATGGAATTTTTAATTAGTGGTTCTCAAACTTTAATGTCTCTTTGAATCACCCAGGTGACCTGCTACAGCGTGAATTGCTGGGTCGGGTCCTCAGAGTTTCTGAGTCAGGGGGTCGGGGAGGGCCTGAGAATTGGAATATTTCACAAGTCCTCAGGAGACGCGTCTGCTGCTATTCTGGGGGTCGCCCTTGGAGAGCTCCGGTCCTGGGTCCCCCTTCTGTGGGCACAGGCCCCTGGAAGCCAGCCAGCTGCAGACTCACTGTGTGGTGTCACCCCAAGTGTGCACCAGCCTTGTTTTTACACTGAAATTAATTTACATAGATGCGAGGATGAGGAATAAAATGCGTTTCTAAGTTCAAATAACTCAGCGTTTCCCTCAGTCAGTAGGTCTGTAAGACCCCACTAGTTATTAGAAACCCCGATTCACTGATATTTCGAAGAGGATGCGAGTTAGACTCTGGCATCTGCAACATCATCCAAGTACGAAGGATGTTGAACTCTGAACTGGCTCTGCTTCCGGCCGTGTGGCCTGGAACAACTCACGCGACTAGAGAAAATATTTCAGTCTGTTTCCTCTTTGTAATGTGCCGGTATGATCTGCCCTGTTTCCCAGGACGGGTGAGGATTGCGTGACATGATATAGGATATTCACTGTGAGTGAATATCCTATATCATGTCACGTTCTAGGTTGTGGTCTTTGGCTTTGTCACACTCACCCTTACATGCTTCAATTAATATGATTTAAAAGCTGGAATAAGCAGACGCATTTTGCACAGTTTTTACATGGGGGTGGGGAAACAGAGGGCCACTGTTATCTAAATAAACAAAAACATCCCGAAAGGTGAATTCTCATTTCGTGTGTCTTTTGCTTTTATTTTCAGGTTCATGTCATAAGGCCAGTTTTACCGAAGCTGAATGACCTGTTCGAAGGTGCAGTGTCACAGGAAGATCATGAAGGTTACTTTCATTTTGATTTTTTTATAGCATTTGTAGTTTTTTTTCCCCTTGCTTTCATGATTAACTCTTGTTCATTGTAGTCCTTGAAAAAACTGTAAAAATGTAAAGAAGAACTCGCTGTTAATAACCTTCTGCATTGAGTGTTCATGTTTTTTTTCTCAGTTAGCAGTGTAACCAAGTGCATTCACCTGTATTCTTAAATACTCTTTGAAAATACAATTTTAAATGGAAACATTTGATGGTAACGATGGTATATGCTACATTTTTAATAATGGCTCTTTGGTCTTGCGTATTTTATCTCTTTTCCATTCTTATTCGCAATATATCTCTGTCATTGTTAGAATTACTTTTTGACGGTTTCAGTTCTGTATCTTGGACTTCTTAGGAAGAGAAAAGTCCAAGATATTATTTTATATATGGATTTTAAGCTCGTAATCAGTCCTGTATTATGAGAACTTTTTAAGAGAAATAAAATGAAGCTGGAGCTTCCTAAAAGTATTTTATAAAATTAAGTTTAGATCAGTGAAACAGCTCAACGCAGGCTAACAGTGTTTTAGGTTTGTATAAATGATAAAATGCTGCATTATTGTGTTTATACATTAGAATTAAGCTAGGTAAATGGGTTTTTAGTGTCTACTTTAGAAAATTACAACTTTAATAGTTTGACCCCATAGGAGTTGAGCTTTACTCGTTGATTGCTGTGGTTTTTTCTGATGCACGGGGACTTTTCACAGACCGTAAGGCTCTGTTGCCCCACCTGGGGCTAGAATTTAATTGAATCCTGTTGTGACTTCACTTAGGCATTTACTAGTAAAATGATTCTCCTATTACTACATTTTGCCCACAGCTCTTGGCAAATCAAATCAAATAGTAGTGACAGGTTTTGAAAAATTGCCATCACCAAGGAATGGAGCAAGCATCTTGGTGTAAATTACAAATAATGGGCCAGTTTATTTATAGACTGCGATGAGTTAAAAATGCTGATTTTTTTCTCTAATAGAATTAAAGGATATGTCAGAAGAGTTAAAATATACCTCTGAGATACATATTTATCCTGTTTTTCTCCTTAATTAAATATTTACTGAAAGATACTTAGTGTCCAGTATATGCTATACACTGGATAAAGTGAGACAGATGTACTATTTTTCACTTGATTTTTGTCTGTTTTCCATGAAAACATAATTTTGATGATCAGGTCTACGCAGGCAGCAAACAGGCTGAAATGGGGTAGACAGTGGGGCTGCACTGTGGAGAGTCAGGCAGGCCTTGGAAATGGCATCGGAGCTCAGAGTCAAGGGGACAGCACCGTGTGCAGCAGCCCCGGGACCGGGACAACCCGTGGGGCGCCGTGCGGGGGGTGGGGACCAGGCGAGGCGGGAGCAGTCGTCAGGGTCAGTTCGTCCTTCTTCTGGTTTTATCCTAAGAGCCCTGAGAAGCCATTTAAGGGTTCGAAGCAGAGGAGTGACAGTTTCACATGTCTGAAAAGTGGATTGACGTAGGTGGGGTGAGGGACGAATTGGTCGGCATCACCCCAAATCTAATGCCATCCAGCGCGCCTGCGGGGTAACATTTAATGCTGTACGTCATAGCGGCCATAACCGTGCTTGCCATCTCTCTAAATAACACTCGGCGTGTGGCGTGTGGCGTGTGGCATGCCGGCCCTGAGTTACTTTGGCCGCTCAGTAACCAAACACCTGGGATGTGGTTAGACACAAACTCGCTTTGTAGCCTAGCAAACACTCGTGTGCGTGTGCGCGTGCACGTGCGCGTGTGTGTGCGTGCGTGCGTGCTGTGAGGACCACATGTCAACCCGAGGTGTTTTTCCGCAGCATGCTGGCTCATCCACCCGTCTTGGCACATGTGTATTTATAAGAGAATGTTTGAAAGTGAAAATAAGATCCTGAGCAAGGAGGGCGTTCTGCATTTTCTGGAGCTGTTCGAGACGCAGCTGCTCCCGTTCTCACCGGAGGTTTCCGAGGTAACAGCAGCCGGTCTCCCCTGCCCGCTTCGTCGCAGGCGGGAGGTAAAGGCATTCGATGCCTCGCACGTGACCTTCAGAAACCCGTCAGAGGCTCGACTGCCGCAGGCCGCGTCTTACAGCTTCGCGTTCAGCAGACCCTAGTTCTGTAGGCCCAGCTGTTGCGTTTGGACAGAGCTCACGGCCTGTGGTCGTCCACGAGCTGCCCACGTCATTCCGCTCTGGATGGGGGGTCCGGGCTGTCGGTTTCTAAACAGCGTGACTCAAGGGTGGGAAAACGAGTAGAAGCTTCTTACGGATCTGCGTCACTGCCGTGGTCAGTGAGCTGACGTTCGCCGCCGTGCGAGCAGAGCTTGCCTTTGAGCTGCAGTGTTACTGTTACTACGTATGTGGAATATGTAATAGTGTAAATTATTTCATTGGCATCTCTACGTCCATTTGTCAGAAATCACACAAAGCAGAGACTGAGAATTATGCTGTGGTTTTAAGTTTCATGTGACAGTGCCACGCGAATCACATGGTCACTTTGGTTACTCATGTGCCTCTTGTGTCCAGGTGACCCAAGTGAGTTTCCCCGCTTGTCTGACCACGTGCCACAGCGTTTTCGCGTGTGTCGTTTTTCTGCATTCTTCTGGCCTTCCTGCACTTCTGTAAGCTTGGGCTTCTGGTCCGTGTCTGGTAATATTTTTGAAGATAATAATTTTTCCCCTTTTATCTTCCAGGCATCGGGGCTTAAATTTCCTCTCGAGTATCTTTTTCTTTTTCCTCCGCTACTATCTTTATTTCCACCGCGTGTTCCTTCTTTGTCTTCTTTCTTCCTTCTTGACCCGACATGCACTCTCTGCGCATTTTTATCAGGTGGGAAAATTCTGTGTTTTGTCCTTCTGGTGGAATCGAGGTACTTCCAAGTCTCACAGATTACCCAAGAGCATACGAGGTCAGCAGTGCTTACACCGGCCCTTGATGTGCGATTAAGGGCAAAGCTGACTTTTCAAAGTTATAGTTACAACTGAACATCAAATCCTTTTTTTTTTTTTTCCAGTTTATTATCGGACCATTAATGGATGCACTTTCAGAGAGTTCTCTGTATAGCAGGTAAGCAAATGCGATGTCATTTAACAACAAGGCAGTAATGTGTGTGAGAGACGTAAATTTAACACGTTTACAAAAAATGACAAAAAGACAGTGCGTTTGGTACGCGATACGTGTCGCCTGATGGACGTTCCCCTGACCTTGTCGCGCCGCCCCTCCTGTGTGTGTCGCTCCTCCTGCCTTTCTGCCGATAGTTGGATCAGGCGTTCCTCCTTGTTTCCCCTCCTCCCTGGAGCCCTCCATCCTTCGTCGTCCGCAGGTGTGTCTTACCCAGCTTCCTTTCTCCCCTTCCTCCTCCTCTCTGCTCTCTGGAAACCGTGGTGACTTTAGCTAACCAGCTCTTTAAATGTTTTTTTTAATTTTTTTTTTTGACTTATAGAAAAGTTATGAGAATGATCCAAAGAATTCCTGTCTACATTTCCTTCACACTCCCCAAATGTTAAAGTTTTAACACGTGTGCTTCATCGCCGTCTCGCTCTGTGTGTGTGCATGTGTGTGTGCGTGCGTGTGTGTGTGTACACACACATCCATTTCTTAGCTCCTCTCGTGAGCAGACTTACTCATCTGTATCAGTTTCAGGGTCTGTCCCTCTGTCTGTCCATCCATCCATATTAAAACCTCGAGTTCTCGCTAATAGTCCAGCACCACAGAACCTCCGCTTTCCACATCTGGCGGCGGCAGCCGTTGTCCATAACACAGACGCCACCTTTACCCTTCGAGAGGTTGAGAGTGAGAAGAGGTTGTTGGTATCGTGCCACATCCTCATGTTTGGAGCATTATCTGTGCTCTTGACTTAAATCTTCAAAAACTTCCTTGCTTTTGAAATTATGTTCTTTAATTTTGATTTACTAAATTTATACTTGCAAGTCTTCTGTTTGGTATACCCCTGTACAGAAAAACCCACCGTCGGTTTTTAAAAAATGTTTACATTAGTCTGTGTTATGTTACTATTGAGCCCTATTCGATAAATCTTGAAAGCGTAGCAATGCTCGACTTACCAATTATTTTTAGTTTTCAGATAACTCACTATCAATAGGTTTCTGAAGCGATTAGACAGCTGCAGAGCAATAAAACCAACCTGATGCCTTTTTAAAAGAGCTGACAGACACATTTATTATGAAATGTATTCAGTTTTTCAGCACTTTGATGTGTTCAATTAACAGGTAATGTTTCTAGCAGAAGCATATAGCAGAAAAAAATGTGACTTTAGTGGATGTTAACAATTAAATGCTCCTTTAAGAAGTAACTTATGACTAATGTGTTTTCCTGTGAATGTTATTTAATACCTAAAGATTTAAGATCACTGAATTATGTATTGGAAATTATAAAATGTAACATAAAACTATCATTTTGAGAGTTTTAAAAAATGATACTGTTTAGCAAGATTCATATATTTGTGTCAGAGAAAGTGTCATAAAAAGGAAATTCATGCCAGCTCAGAACAGCATGTTATTAACACACGTCCATTTTCCTAGAAGATCTTGACATTTCCGTAATCAGAAGGGTCCTCAAAATTTTACTGAAAAAGAAAAAGCAGGTTCAGAAAAAGAAAATGGTCTTACTCTTTCATTGTTAAAAGTCTTTTGGGCCCTAGTTCCATTTAGTTTCAGTTTACTTATTGTAAGTAGATTTTAAATATTTTTTTTCCTCTTTGTAGGTCCCCAGGCCAGCTGATCGGAAGTGGTTCTCCATTGGGACTGAAATTACAGAAGTTTTTAGTTACTTATACTTCTCTCCTTCCAGAAGAAATAAAGAGTATGTGCAGTAAAGAGTTTTTTTAAAAAAAAATTTATTAGCTTTAAAAATTTATTTTTAGTATTTTGGTCATAAGCCCCATCCTGTGACTATTATACTCAGTATTATCAAAATCGTTTCCTTTCTCCAGGATGTGTTGGAATGATACAGGTTTTGGCCATAACTGAGTACACGTTTCTGCTTTTGTACGTAACTTGTTACCTGTGTTGACATGAGTAGGCGGAAGTAATTTTAGAACGTGGGGCAGTTTGCCGTCTTTTTTAATTGTTTCTGTTCAGTTTCAAAAAATTGGTAAAGTAGGTTGAAGAAAGAATCTGGGTTTGGGAAAAAGTCTTAAACAGAGTATCTATTGTGGTAAAGTTGTCCTTTTATGAATATTAGGAAGACAAAAAAGAAAAATATACTTGCTTTTTTCGTGAGACCTTTTGTATCCTAGAAATACTCACTTCTTCAGATTGGGAGTTTATTTTTCTTTCTGATGAGGTATATTGATCAGTGTTTTGTTTCCTGAGCAGCAGAAGGACTTCTAAGTCCTGTTTTTCACTCCTGGTTTTGTGAATTAGAAAGTGATCCTGTGTGTGAGAGGCCAGTGGTCTCCCTTGTCCACGGTTCCCGTGGTCTCAGTTGCCTGCAGTCACCCAAAAACATTAAATGGAAAATTCTAGAAATACACAATTCGAAAGATATTTTGAGAGACCACGTTCATATAACTTTTATTACAGTATATTGTTAAAACTATTCTATTGTTAGTTGTTGTTAATCTCGTACTGTGCCGAATTTATAAATTAAACTTTATCACAAGTGTGTACGTATAGGAAAAAGGCAGGATATATGGGGTTCGGTATGACTTGCGGTTTCAGGCTCCACTGGGGGTCTCGGAACCCACCTGGCCCCCCTGTGGATAAGAGGGCACGACCGTATGTATTTTTTCTTTTGTATTTAATTTTTAAATAGGGTGAAATGGTACCTATTCAAAAGTCGGGAAAGGGAAAAATTATATACCACAACTTTAGATTTATAGAAAATTGATTTAATTACTTTCTTAAAAAAGATCGGTTAATGGAGAAGGTAACCACCGAGGCATTCTTGAGTTTGCTAGAATTTGGAAGTTTACAGTAAGGGGATCGATTTGCCGACCAGATTTCCACGTCCCACGTCAGTAGCACAGTGTGACTGGCGCGGTGGTGGACAGCGCCCTGGACAGTGGACAGTGAGTGCCTGGGGACTGTGGCCGGGTGCCAGGCACGGAGTAGACACTTGTAAACATGTTGAGTGGCTTCGAAACAGAAGCCTGGCTGCTGCCATCGCCCTGCTGTCCGGAGTGGGGTGTTCCGCAGAAAAGTGGGAACTTAACTTAGTCCAGCAGAAGGGAGGGCGAGAAAAATGCGCACGGTTCTTACTGTTTCTTGGATTTGCAGTCAGTACCTTAAGTGTATCTGGCTTTGTGTTAGGCACTTTGGAAGATCTAAAGTACGTGGGATACCCTCCCAGGAGCTTCCAAGGATTTCTTAACATTCTACAGTGATCTGAGGAAACACGTTTCACTGAGCACATGAGTGGAAGGTCCTCAAGTCACACATTGGCGGAGAAAGCAGAATGGCTCGTCCTCCGTTTCTATCTCAAAATAGAAAAGTAAATTATAGGGATTAGGTCCAGGATAAGAAAGAAATAGCCCACGAGAAAGATCTAATGTCATTGTTTGCAGATACCAGAGGCTACTCACTATCAGCATTTTTTTTTTTTTTTTTTTACCATTTTTAACATCTCCAATGGAAGAATGGCTTCTAACAGTTAAAAAATTTATTTTTTACTTTAAAAAATATATATAGCTTTATGGTTATTAGAATCTCTACAATAGAGTAGAATATGTCCTTACTAAATGGGAATAAAATGGAAATAACGTTGGTTTTTTTCAATAGCTTTATCGAGAGAGAATTCATGTAGCATGAAATTCACTCTTTTAAAGTGTTCTGCTCAGTGGTTTTACTATGTTCACAAAGCTGTACCAGCCGTCACCACTGATCCCAGAATGTTTTCATCGTCCCCAAAGGAAGCTCCAGGCTCAGCAGCCATCACTGCTCGTCCCCCGCCCCCAGCTCCCGTCCGACACCGATCTACTTTCCACAGATTTGCCTGTCGTAGACATTTCCTGTGAATGGAATCGTGTGATGTGTGGCCTTTGATGTCTGGCTTTCAGCTAACGACGTTTTAAAGATGTGTCCGTGTCGTGGCATGAGGCACCGTCTCTTCTTCGTGGCTGACGGTGCTCACTGCATAGGTGTCGCACAGTTTACTTACCCGTCATCCGTTGGTAGGCGTCTAGATCGTTTCCACTTTTAACTGTCAAGAAAAACACCGCTGTGAATAGTCACATACAAGTTTTCCCATGAACATAAGCTTTCACTTCCCTTGACTCTGTACCTAGGAGCAGAGGTGTCAGGTCACGTGGCAACTCTGTTTAACTTGTAGAGACACTACCAGGCTGGTGCACAGTGGCTGCACCGTGCGACGGTCCCACCAGCAGGGTGCGGGGCCCCCCGTTCCCCCATCCTGGCCAGCACTTGTCCCGGTCTGCCCTTTCGGTGGTAGCCGACCCAGTGCGTGTGAAGTCACCTCCTTGTGGCGTGTGATCTGCGTTTCTCTGCCTCATGTCTAGTGATGCTGAGCATCTTTTCATGTGCTGTTGGCAACAACTTATTTTAAAACTTTCTCTTTCAGGTGGCTTCCTGCTAAAGTTTATTCAGAAGATGACCAGTAGACATTGGTGTGCTGTTCCCATTTTGTTTCTGTCTAGGGCTTTGGCCAGCGTCCCAAAATGTAACGCCCTGGCTCGGGAGGGGCTTCTTGCCCTCAGGTAGTTTACCCTGTCCCTGCACACGTGGCCGCTTGTCAGTTTCGTTTTTCCCTGTGCTTTAATCTATAGTGCGTGGTTTTAGTTAATACTGGCATCGGGATTTTTGAGCCCTTAATTTTATAAGAAAAACGTAAATTAAAAATGTTATTCATATGGTTGAACTTGTTTTGTTATGTGAATTACTAATTTAAAAATGTGGCATAATACATGCTAGTGGACCTTGACCACTTTGAGGCCAGTACTTTTTTTTTTTATTATATTGCTGTGTAGGAAACTAGAGATAAAATACCAGACAGTAATATTGATTACAGTATTCTTAAAAATGTAAAATTCTTATTTTAAAGTATCTTCATGCATAGTCTCATTATTTTTAAGAGATTTATTTCATATTAAATCGAGCTCTATTAGAGGCCTTACTGGAAGATCATAGCTTTGAAGTCCTGCTGGCAGTGGCTTTCTGCATTAGAAAATTGTAGGTAGCATAAATCGATGTGTCACGGACCGTGGACGTGCATTTTGTTTTTCGGCCTCAGGGATGTCCTTCAGTGCACCCTGGTCACACACCAGATCCTGCTGCGGGGGGCGGCTCAGTGCTCTCTTCTGCAAGCGGCTATGAACTTGGTGGATGCGGTAAGTTCCTCTTTACTCGCGATGCTTCAGTTTGTGAGCTTCAGGCTTAGCGGGCGGGCGAGCAGACAGGAGTGACGGAGGTGGCCTGTGACGCTGTCGCGACTCGGGGGTTCCCACGTCCGACCAATGGGGCGGCTCGCTGTGCCGGAGGCGTCTGCACACTCCCTCTGGGAGTCTGTGACCAGCCTCAGTGACGGCCCTGGCACCGAGTCTGTACCGAGCTTCCCTGGGAGACGTTGCACGTGTGCCGGGGCCTGAGCACACGCTGGTGACACTGCTGGGGAGGACGCTCGGCAGCTTTCGCCCGCATCCTCCGCGTTGCCCCACGCCTCCCAGTAACCCGACGTTCGGGGCCTATGGTCTCTGGTCTGTGTCTTTGCAGAGCCTGGTGGAGCTGCGAAGGGCCGGGCCGGTGCTCACTTTAGGCTTAGGGAATCCCACGGTCGCTGTCACAGCCACTCAGAAGCAGCCACTGACAGTAGCTAAATAAACAGCGTGGCTGTGGTCCTGTCAAACTTCACTCACAAAACGGGCCGTGAGTGGGTTCCCGACCCCGGCTTAGAGCAGATCTTCATTCAGGAATGAAAGACCTAGGTGGCTGTCTTAAGGCGGGGCGTCATTTGTGTGGCTTTGTGAAGTGATAAGTTATTTCTCGTATAATTTTTTTGCTTTTGCTTTTCGATCAAGACTGCCTTGAGGAAGATAGATTTACAGTCTTTCATTTATATAATGTCTTGTTTGTAATCAGTACTTTATTTTAAAAGTTGAATAACATCTTTAAAATGAGCTTTCTCTTGATCGAACTAATTTTATTTTAGATAGTATAGTACGTTGCTTTTACAGATTTTATTTTATTCAATTAAAAATTTTTAAATGAGTAAATTTTAAAAACTACCTCCCACCAGGAGAAAGTGTCACTTTCCGACGTCTCAACTTTTCTCATGTCTCTGAGACAAGAGGAGTCCTTAGGACGGGGGACTTCACTGTGGACAGAGGTGAGATCGGAAATAGCTTAATGATAAGGGCTTTGTAAACTTTATGAAAAATTGTTTTCTAATTGAATTTATCACTAGCCATTTATGTAACATAACAATTGCTTTGTTATCTGTCAACAGAGATTTTAGAAAGTTGTCTGTCTGCTTCGAGCAGATGTAATGGTGCCACTGAGGCCCTCACGGGCGGGCGGGGGTGGTGACGGGGATGGTGACGGGGAAGTGTCGGGGGAGAGGCCGACCGCTCGGAGGAGGGGGCACGGCCAGTGGGCAGGTCGCGATGCTGGATGAGCTGTGCTAGGGGTGACGATGCTACACCGCTCAGGAAGTAACACAAACCTCCTCTCTCTCTGTTTCCTGTCAGTTCATGGCACTTTCGTCTGCCCCGTTGCCCAAGCCTGGCATTTAGGTAATTCGTAGTTTTTCCTGACTTTATGCATCAAATTCATCATGAAATCCTAAGTGTCTTTTGACCCCTTGCCCTTGTTCCAGCCCTTGCTGTGGTGGGCGCCCTTCCCCCCGTGCTGGTCACTGTCCCCGGCCCGCTGCCTCCCCCATGTCACCTCCTGCCCGTTAGTGCCCGCTTCCTCCCCATCCTCCCCATCATATTTTTGTTGATTTCTGATTTGCTCTATAGCTTAGTGGTGTTTGAGAACAGAACCTTTTTTTTTTTTTTTGAATTTTGAATTTCTTTTGTATTTTGTGTTTTTTCAATGCCTAAGAGATCACTGAATCTAGGGATGTGAGCATTTTAGAAGGCAATTCTGGCTCTATACACAGAAGCAAGAGAAACCAGTTTGGACTTCGTTAAAATATTCAGGTGGAAAATAACGAGGCCGTCAGTAGGGTGATGGCAGAGGGATGAAGAAGGAGCAAATTGGGACCTTTGAAAAGTAGAATTTCATCTCATATTCTTGATCATCATCCAAGTATGTGGAATCTGAAAAATACGGGACCATATAAAGAAAATGAGCACCTGAGATGCCCACCACCCAACTAAATCCATCTTTTGTTTTAATTGTGAATTTTTTGAATATATAATTCTCATTCTTTCTCACTATATGGATATTTAAAATGATATATCGGTACACGTATTTTAAAACAATAAACATATTGTTTCGAATTTCATTTTTCATTTTCACATATACTTGACCATTTCAACAAGTCGCTAAATAATTCTCCAATCTGTAGTGTTTTAAAATTCAGTTGATTAAATGTTTTAGAATTTATTTAATCAGTTCCTTTTGTTGGGCTTTTGTTTCAAAATTTATCATTTCATCTGTAAATATTTCAGTATGTACTGCTAAAAGATAAGGACTTTAAAAGGACCCCAAATTAAGCCCTTTTCACACCTAAAAATGTTAACAGTAATTTCTCGATTTCGACCGTCCAGCGTCCGCGTTTCTCTAGACGCGTGTGTTTCTGTGTCTCCTGCATTTCGCCTGTTCCCATTTTCAGCTTGTTCACGTATCCACGTAAGCTCTGTCCCTTGCTTTGGTGTGTGTGGCTCCTGAGTCGTGGTTCGCCCCTCTGGGATTTTTGTGGTGTGTGGTGTGAGCTGCCAGGTTTAAATGAGAAAAGGTGTGTGAAACTTTCAGGCTGAGCTTTGCCCATGTCACGTGTCAGGATCTATGACGCGTTTCCGCTCCATCGATGAGCCAGATGTTTGCTCGTTTTTGAGGCGCCAGCCCCTAGATTTCTTTATCTGTTCCACTTAATTTTTCAGTTCTCTAATTCTTTAACATCTGCCTTCATGTTTTTTCTTCTTCGAGCGCGTGTGGCTCATCTCTCTGTCTCGAATGTGTCTACTGAACACTCTTATGCGCCCGCCCCCCCCAGGCACTGTGCTGAGTGTTGGGAACACAGCGGTCAGCAAATAAACGTGGCCGCTGTTCTTTATAGTCTGTGGTTCATGCTTGAACCCCAATTTTAATGCTTTTTGTTTGTCTAATAACAAAAGCACTTATTTAAGTATATGTAACAGCATAGATTCGGCTACATCTATAACTTCTGCTGTATAGTATAAATCTGTGATGTTGAATTACATAAAATCGTTGTATTTAGTCGATATTAATTTATAGAAATGGCTATTTCACATAGCTCAACCTACATGATTTTTTAAAATTAATTTGCTTTCTAGAGCAGTTTTGGGTTTACAGAAAAAATTGCGCAGGAAGTGCAGAGAATTTCCATAAATCCCCTGAGCACTCCCCTCTCCCCACGGGGCTGCCCGGTACTAGCGGTCGGCATCAGCACAGTGCGCTTGTTACAGCTGAAGCATCATTAACTAACGCTCACAGATGCGTCAGGGTTCACTCTTGTGCTGTGTGTTCTGTGGGCTTTGACAAGTGTATATGACGTGTATCCACCATCACCGTACCGTACAGAGGAGTTTCACTGCCCTAAGAGTCCCGGGTTCCACCCGTTCACCCCATCTTCTCCGCCCACCCCAAGCCCCTGGCAGCCACTGATGTTTCCCCTGCCTCTGGAGTTTTGCTTTTTCCAGAATGTCATATCGTTGGAGTCTATACGACATTATATACACTTCACACACTATGAAGCCTTTTCAGATTAACTTCTTTCTCTAAGTAATTTCCATTTAAGGTTCTTCCATGTCTTTCCATGGCTAGGTAACTCATTTCTTTTTATCACTGAAGAATATTCCATTGTCCCATGGACTAGTTTATGTATCCATCACCTACTAAAGGATAGAGCTGCCGTAAAACTTTTAACTCACTTGAGTAAATACCAGGGAGCCTGGCTGCTGGATCGTATGGTCAGAGTATGTTTAGTCTTTTAAGAAACCACCTACCGGTCTTCCGAAGTGTCTGTCCCGTTGTGCTCTGTCCCGCCAGCAGGGAGCTGCACGTCCTCACTCGGCGAGGCCGGGGTCCTGCATTTTAGCCGTGCCATTCGGTGTGTAGTGGAGGTTGTTTTAATTATTAAGTCATCTCATGACATAGGATGTTGAGCATCTTCTCATATGCCGTTTGCTGTCTACATACTGTATCTTCTTTGGCGAAACGTTTGTTCAGATGTTTTGGATTCCAGCCCTTGATCAGTTGTGTTTTTTGCAGATCTTTTTCTCTCAGTCTTTGGCTTGTCTTCTCATTCTCTTGACAGTGTCCAAATAGTCTTTTGAGACTTGTATTTTGATGGGGAACCAAGGGAACCTGTGTACTCGAGACTGCTGGTTAGATGCCATTTAAACCCTGAGTCTGACACGAAGACACTTCGAAGGGAACTATTCTGAATTTTGTCACAGGTTCGATAGAGGGAAAGAATAAAATATGAATTTGAGTTTAGTTCAGTAATGTGATTATAGGATTGTGCTTATAGAAATAGAAGATTTGGAAAACCTCATACATTTTATAGCAATAATCGAGAAACTTCGGCCGGCCAGTTTGAGAGGAGTGTAAAGGGAAGTGTGTACTTTGGAAAGATACGTATTAGCTGACCTCACCGTTAGGTCGCGTTTTGAGATCTCGGCTTGATAAAGACCGCAGCGGTGGCGAACGGCCCGAGTTAGTTCCTGCGGGTTTGGCGGTTCTAGTCGAGACTCGGTCATTCACTCATTCATCAGTTTGTCTTTGGTCAAGTGACGTATTGTTATTTTGTTCATTTTTATTATTTTGTCTCACATATAATTTTGGATGACCTTAATGGATGGAATTTATTTTTTTAATTCTTACCTTTTAGGAAGATAGAACTGTTTACTTCATATTTAAATTCATTATTGAATTTGTACTTTAAGAGGTAATTATGAAAAGAAAATTCAGAACACAGATTTCAAAACAATTCAGAGGTACATGCAATCAAAGATTAATTCTGTGAAGTTCTGTGACTTAGTTTTGCAAATCTTCTAAAAAATATGGACAAGGACTAGGACAGCATTGCTCTTAATATGTTTTAAAATGCGTGTATGATAGAAAATAAACTTGTGAGGAGTGTAGGAACTTTCATTATAACTTACATTTCAAATTCGACATCCAAAGATAAACATATCCTCGTTTTAATATGTGAAGCTGGAATGAGTTTTAATTTAAGGTTGTAATTTCTTTTGCATAATGTGTTATTTTTCACAGAGATGTTCTTTAGAATACCTTATCAAAATGCGCATTTTATATTCGGTGCTTTAGAAATTCTTGCCCGTTCATAAAATCTTGAATAGAGATTAGAAAACACACCCAGTCACACTCACTAATTCACACACACTCATTCACACACACACTTTTCTGCACTGTGTGAAACTAAGTCACGACAGTAAATGTTTTATTTATAATGTTCAATCATTTACATTCAGTTTATTGTGCAAGACAGAAAATTAGCTTTGGGAGATAGAAACCCTTTGTTCAGTAGGTTTTTTAAAATAAGGCGATAACTCTTTTCTTTTCTAGCTCTGCGACTGGCTGCGTGTTAACGAAACCTGTTTTGGGCGCTCTGCAGCTTGTAGCCTCGTGGGGCTTCAGGAGCCAGTCTCCTTGAATGCTTACGTGAAGACCCTAGTTCAAGAGTACGTTAAGTCTCCTGCTTGGGAAAGTAAGTCTGAAGTCATTTTTCTGGATCGATGTCACCAAAGTGTTTTCGAAGAAGGTTTAACTGGTTTTCAGGTTAGGAGATGGGCTTCGCCAGGTGTGTGTGGCCAGAGTGGGAGTTGGACACAAACAAATCTGTTAATTTATTCCGCAGTTACCAGATCCTTTTGGGCTAGATATTGCGGATGTGTTTTTGGAGCCTCTGAAGTGGAAATGTTTTGTAGATGAATCTGTTCTTTTTTTGTTTGTTTGTTTTCAGAGCATTACATTTAATGTGAACTGATTATGAAAAGTGATTTTCGAGAAAAATTATGTTCGAAAGGATGGTTTTATTAGTTTTTCTTTTTGCCAGATACTGGGCAGAGGTCAGTCTTGCAACTTCTTTGGGGAAATGCGTAAGACTCAGGAAGAACCAGTGGCAGATTCATTAACTAAGATTCTTTCTACATCTCTAATGTTTCCCCTTCATTAAAGTCATTAGTGAGCATTTGAGTAAGTCGCATCTTTGAATTTAACGTGTCTTAAATTTCCCAGCTTGGTCTCAGACCAGGGCTTTTTCTTTTCCTGATCTCTGCGATCTAATCATGGGATAGCTCTTAAGGATCAGATAAGCACCCTCCCAAACACATGAGCTCTTCCTCCTTAGAACTTCTCTCTCTCTTGTGTTTTAGTCTCTCTGTTGTCAAACACATGAGCTCTTCCTCCTTAGAACTTCTCTCTTGTGTTTTAGTCTCTCTGTTTAGTGATTTTCTGTGCTGTTACTTGGAAGATTCTTTCGTTAGGCCTAGAAAAGTAAATAAATTTTAGTCCCTACCAGAGTAAACAGATTAAAACTCCTAAAATAGTTTGCCTTACAATTCAGAGTATATAACAGCATCAGATCTGATTAAATATTCACAATTGGATGAAATGAGATTTTTAGTTTCTTTAACATTTCTAGGTCTTAAAATATACTGTTTAATATGCTATTTTAAGTTTTTAAAAAGTGGATTTTAAGTGCAAAGGAAGTATTCATATGTATGTGTGTTTAATGTTTTGACTTTTAATGCCCTTGTCTAAGTGCATTTATAAAATTTTAGTTTAGTGATCAATTACTAGGCTTTTTTTCAGGATGTCATTAAATTCCAAAGCAAGCACTATTTGAGTTTTTAAGCATAAAATACATATACTAGTCAAATTTGTTTTTATAGAAAGACTCGTCTGTCAAAACACTATTTTCAATCAGTTTATACATCTGAAATAGCCTTTTCTTTGAGTTTTGACATAGTCAGCATAGGTGGATTTTAAACTATTCAGCACACATTGATCATATGTTTTCTTTTAATTTATTGGGGTGACATTGGTTAATAAAATTATATAGGTTGTAAGTATGCAGTTCTGTAATACGTCACCTACATGTCGTGTCGTGCGTTTACCACCCAGAGTTAAGTCTCTCTCTGTCACCTGCGTTTGGTCCCCTTGGACCATGTGTTTTTCAGTGTCAGGCATGGGAGTTACAGAGACAGATGACGCGCCCCCTGCCCACAGAGACGGGTGTCGTCTAGCAAGGGGGTCGCCCAGGGAGCAGGTGACCCCAGTGCGGGGCCTGCAGGAGATGGCACTGGCGGGGAGCTCGTGTGAGCAGCACTGTCCAGACAGGCCAGCCGGGGTGGGGGAGGTCGCCTGATGGTGACACCTGATGAGTGGATAGAGATGAATGTGGAAAGCGGGACAGCGGACCCCACGAGGCTTGGGTGTTCCTGCTCCCGGGGAGCTCAGGGAGGGCGGCATCCCCGCCTGTCTCCGGCACGGCCCCCAGGTGGGAACGGTAAGAGATGAGGATGGACGGGAAATAGGTGTATGCGTACATGTCACATCTGCAACACGCAATGACAAAGCGACAAGGAAAACCACACAAAACCAACATCGCCAGACGTGGTGAAGAGCTTCGGAGATCAGGAAGGTCCGGGAGGACTGCTCAGGGCTCGGGAGGGCTGCGACCTCACAGATTGCTCCTCCCTCCTTTGAGGACAGGCGGAGCCCGGCGGTGTCGCGGGTTTGGTTCCAGGCCCCCGCAGTAAAGCGAGCCCCAGAACCTCTGGGCTCCCGGGGCGCGTGGGAGTCAGGATTCACTGCACCGCAGGCTGTCGAGGGCGCCATAGCACCATGTCTGAAAAACGTACCTGCCTTAATAAGTACTTCATTGCTAGACAGTGCCGACCGTCATCTGAGCCTTAGGTCCTAACCTTTCCGCCGGCGGGGGGCCCAGCCTCGATGCGGATGGCTGCTGAAGGGCGGGGCGGCTGTGGCATTTTCTCAGAGTACGATGACGTTTGCCACACTGATCGACTCTTCCTTTCACGAGCGACTTCTCTGTAGCACACGATGCTGTAGTGACACACCATGAGTGACAGCGTTTCGCTCACAGGACTTCTTCAGAACTGGGGTCGAGTCAGCCCTCTCGAACCCTGCCGCTGCGACGTCGACCACACCTGTGTCACAGTCTGAACCCTTCGTCACCGCGTGGGTCTTCACGGCGTCTCCACCAGGCCTGGGTCCCTCTCAGGAAGTCGCTTTCTTGGCTCCTCCACAGGAAGCTGCTCCCCTTAGTCCTCTGGCGCTTTCCACCACGTCCGCGGTTACTTCCTCCGCGCCGCCTTGACCCCCTCAGAGTCATGCGCGAGGGTTAGAATCTTCTTCCAGACTCCTGTGAATCGTGACATTTGACCTCTTCCTGTGACTCTTAATGACATCTGTGGCGGTGAACCCTTTAAGGAGGGTTTCAGTTTGCTTTGCCCAGATCCGTCAGAGGAATCACTAGCTATGGCAGCCCTGTAACCGTATGAGATATTTCTTAAGTGACAGGACGCGAGAGTTGGAGTGTCTCCTTGATCCGGGGGCTGCCGGGTGGATGTTGCGTTTGCAGGCACTGTCCTTTCCCATCGGGGCTCCGGGGTGACCAGGCGCATTTGTCAGTGAGGAGGGATGTTTTGAAAGGAACCTTTTTCTGAGCAGCAGGTCTTGACAGTGGTTTGACACACTCAGTAAACCACGTTGTAAGCAGACGTGCTGTCTGTCATCCAGGCTTTGTCGTTCCGTTCATACAGCACCGGCAGAGTGGATTTAGCATAGTTCGTAAGGCCCCACGGTTTTCCGAATGGTAAGTGACATTGGCTTCAGCTTAAAGTCACCAGCTGCATTAGCCCCTAACAAGAGAGTCAGCCCGTCCTTTGAAGCTTTGAAGCCTGGCTCTGACTTCTCTCTGGCTGCGAAGGTCCTGGGTGGTGGCATCTTCCAGCGAGAGGCCGTTTCTTCTGCAGAGAGTCCGTTCAGTGCAGCCGCCTTCGTTATCTCAGCGGGGCCTGCTGATGGCCTGATGCGGCCTCACCGTGCAGAGACGGCTTCCATGATGGAGACGGCTTCTCCCTAAAGGTGAACCGGCCTCTGCCGGCCTCTGCCTTTCCCTCTGCAGCTCCCTCACCTCTCAGCCGTCACAGAATCGGAGGCTGAGGGCCTCGCTCTGGATTGGGCTGTGGCGTAGGGGACGGTCGTGGCTGGTTTGACCTTCCCTCCAGACCCCTGGAGCTCTCCACGTCAGCAGTGGAGCCGTCGCGCTTGTCATCCGTGCGTGCGTGGGACGAGCACTTCGGTTTCCTTCACGACCTCTTTGCGTTCACAGCTCGGCCGTTGGTGCCAGAGCCGTAGCTTTCGGGGTGTCGAGATGCCCCTCTCCCCGAGCTTCGTCCTCCTAGTGTTGACTTAAAGTGAGAGATGTGCGACTCTTCCTTCCACGGGAAAACCCAGAGGCCACGGAGGGTTCTGCCTGGGCCTCGTGTTGATGCGGTTGTGTCTCGTGGAGCAGTCAGGGCACAGCGGTTAGTGAGCTTGCCGTCCTATGGGGGCGCAGTTCGTGGTGCCCCCCAAAGATTACCGTCGTAACGTCAGTGATCGCTGGGCACAGGCCACCAAAACAAATACAGTAATGACGAAAGAGTCTGAAATGTGAGAGTTACCGTAATGTGACAGACACAGACAGACACAGTGAGCAAACGCCGTTGGAAAATGGCCCCAGTGGACTTGCCCAGCGCGGGGCGCCCCTGACCTCCAAACACGACGTCCGCGGAGCGCGGTAAAGCGCCTGCCTGTGCCCTGCGCCCCCTCCCTGTCGCTGCGGCCGCCTCCTGCCATCGGGAAAGGCAAGGCCCTGACGGGCCCGCACGGCCTGGCCCACCTGTTTCTGTGTCCTCGTCTTTGTCATTCCCTCCTGCCATGGGCCCGGCCGCACGGCCCCCGTCCGTTTCCTGGAAGGTGGCAGCTCCCTCCCGCCAGACGCCCGAGGAGCTGCTGCTCTGGCCGGGAGGCCCTGCCCCCGCCCCCCATCCCCTGCCTCCATGCTCCGCCGGCGGCGTTTCTCAGGGGCTTTCACTTACGCCCCCGACGGTGGACCGTTCTCCGTTCCTCGCATGTTCTCCGAGGACCGCGCTGCGATTTCCGCGGCTCAGGAGCCGTGTCTGTCACCGGGGTCGGCGTGCGGTGGGCGCTGGGCACACGGGGCTTGGTTCCTGCTGGCGTTTAAGCGCGTGTGGCCACGAGCCGTCTCATCAGCCGCGGTGTGGTCATCAGTGCCGATGAGACACAGTTTAGCTGTTTTGCTCTGAAGCATCATCTCTGACGGGTTTTGTGACGCTTCGTAAACCTGTCGTTTAAGCTGGAGGAGACTGTGGGGTGCCCGACGGGTGCGAAGCCCAGCTTGTGGCTCTGATGGTCTTGCTGGCTGTGGACGTGGAAGGGATGAGGAGCCATCACAGGTAAGTGTTTCTGAACTTGGAAACAAACTCTCAGCAGAAAAACCGTGCTGCTCAGATTTCTGGTGCACGATCAGACGTTTCCACGACTGGCGTGGAACCGATCACAGAGCATTAAGGGAGGGAGGTAGAACGTTGGCCACGCACCGCAGAAATATTTAAACTTCACAGTAAATTAGTAGTAATAAGGACCCGTTATTCCTTGCACGGTGGCAAGTTAAACTGTTAGAGAAAGCTTTAAAAAATTATATACAGTAATCACTGGTTTATATAAGAATATTACCAAAATGGGTTATCAGATTTTAGCGTAAGATTAGGTAAAGAAATTTACTGGATTGAAAGGTAATAAGATAAAAACAATCTCATTTATATTTTGAGAATATAAGCAGAACAGCTCTCTCAGGTTATAGTCGTTGCAAAAAGCAGCTTTATTAGGTACCTTCACATATGCAGGTAATTTAATTAACAGCAAATCTCTTCTAGACAGAGTTAGTACTAAGGTTGGATAAAGAAGTTTTTCATAAGTCCTTGACTCTTTGCATTTTTTGTTAACATGTTTCATCTCCTTGACTAGCAGTTGTTTTGGTTATTTTTTTTAATTATGAAAGCAGAGTCTCAGCATTTTAATTTGCAAATAAACAGGACGTGGGATTTCTTCCTACTGGTGCCTGGAGCCGACTCAGTCCGTTCTTCCCTGAGCTGTCACTCTGGTGACTTGCTGCTGTCCCCAGGGAGGCGCAGACCGGAGGGCGAGCTCGGTCCTAGCCGGTGCCAGGTGTTTGTGTCACCGTGCGAGTGATTCTCATCGAATCCATTAGTTAACTAGTTCCACGAGTTACAGAGGCAAAACAATTTCTCTGTGCTTTGGAAATGCTTCATTTGGGCGTGTCTTTCCACATCTAGCGAAAAGCAGAGGACGCAGAACGTGCTGAGGATGTTCTTGGAGCCTCTCCTGGACGCGCTCACGAGGGCGGGCACCAGCGCCTACCTGCCCTTGCCGAGGAGCGAGAGGAGCCTCCAGCTGCTGCTGAAGCTGCTGCACGCTTGCTCGCCGGAAGCTTCCAGGACCCAGGATGGTGAGGATGAGGTGTTTCTGGGGTGACTTGCTCGGTGTCTTCTTGGTGTCTCGAATGAAAGGAGATTCCTGATCTTTTAAGATAAAGGACCGTTTCATACGTTCAGTGGCTCTTTGCCAAGTGACCGGTGGGGCTGGGGTCACAGCATGGACGGAGCAAGCCTGCCCCACGGAGCCGATGTCTGCGTGCTCACATCTGTCGGTCACTATCAGACTTAGAATATAACTTCATTCGCTTTTATTTTTTTAAATGTGTACTTCCCAGTGACTTCTAGACTGTTGAAATAGTTCACTATTTCATATACGTTTAAGCAAGATTCGATTCTCATTGCTACTAGGCTACGCGTTGCAGAAAGTTAGCCAGCAGCACGAGGGTGGTAGCAGTTTTATAAGTATTTGTAACTATATTAATCTCTGAGCACCTTTTAGGTGGAAAATACCTGTACAGATTGTATCACAGCAGTGGATAAAAGCTCTTTCTTCCCTCCTTGGCCCGAGGTGTCTGACCCACTGAAAACCCAGTGGAGATGACATGCTGATGGGCAACCCGATTCCCAGCCCTTTCTGACCAATTTCACTGGGAATTGTAGAAATCTAAAATTTAAAAAAAATGATAGATATCAAGTTAAAGCCAAGGATCACATTGACAAGATCGTGGTCTGTGCTCATGGAGGGTTAAAGCTGGCTCCCGAGTCCTGACATTGTCGAGCGCGGAGTAGGACCAAACGCTGTACTCGTCATAGTGGCTTTTCATGACATTCTTAACCCCTTGAGGGCATAAATGCGGATTCGTCCGATGCGTCTCGCCCATCTGCCTGGGCCCAGTGCTTTCACGTGCAGGGCTGGGTCACGGACGCCCCGGAATGTCTCTGACGTTTGGCGCACACATGGGAGGCCGCGTGTGTCATGGTGCGGAACAGACACCCGTGGACGCACCACCGACCGAGGCCCGAACTCACCCGAGCTCCTCCGCCCCCGCCTTTCGCCCCTTGCTCTGACTTCATCTCCGGCGCGGTGGCATCCCGCAGCCGCGTGCCGTCTCGCTTTCTGGCTCGTGAGCTTCGTAGAAACGTCACTGTTCGCAGCCTCTAACTCTTCCCTTACCGCGTGTCTAGGACTCGCCCGCGTCCTGGCTCGGAGTTCGTTGTCTGCCGTCGTGCGGTGACAGGTCTGCAGTCTCCTGTCGCCGGGCGTTGGGTTCTGTGCAGTGAAGCGCGGACGCCGTCTCCATGTCCCCTGGGCCTGTGTGTGGGTCCCCAGGCCACGTCCCCGCTCGTAGGGCCCGTATGTTCAGCTCACAGGACAGTGACGGTGGTTTTTAGAGGAGTCGTGCTCACGTTTCATGTTCTCACCCGGAGGCTGGACGTGTTCCCTTCGCTCCTCGTGGAGCCGGAGAGAGACACGTCCGGTTCGGTGGCCTCTCTATGACTGCTAACCCACGTCACGTCGAATTGGCTTTAAATAGCTCTTACTCCTGGAAGGAGTCCTTTGACAAGACGAGAAAAATAGTTATTTCCATTTCATAAGTGAGCAAATCGTCCGGGAGTGAATTCCCTGTACGAGGGAGACTGAGCCAGTAACGGGGAGACAGGCCTGTCTCGTGCTCGCCGTCAGTGTGAGTTGCTGCTGTTTGGGTGACTGTGACTTTGTTGGGTTTAAACACTTTTTTAAATTTAATTTTCGGTGGTTTATTACGGAAGTCGTCGAGTCTACGAGAGCTGGAGAAGCCGTGGCGACTCCCCGTCTTCGCGGGGTTCGCGAGCGTGCGGGCTGCCGCGGCTCCCGCGTCCTTCGCTGTTTGTTTTTGTTTTGTTTTGTTTTTATTTTTTAAGCCTTTCAAGCCGGGACGACACGTGGGGAAGAGCAGGGGGAGGAGGCGCTGGTTGGCGGGGCTGTGGCCAGGTGTATCCCCCCCAGCCCCGTGTGACCCGGCCGCGTCCGTGCGGGTGCCCGCGGGTGGGGGACGGGTCCGTCTGAGCAGAGGGGACCGCGAGTGCCCTCCCGCCTGGCTTGGGGCATCCGTCCCTTCCTGCCGGCACAGCTTCGAGCACGAGGGTCTGGCCGTGAAGGAGACAGACCCCTGTCCTGGGGAGGTTGCCTTCTGGGGTGGGGGCCGGACTGGGAGAGGTGACCAGCAATGACGATACAAAAGCCACGGTAGTTTGACAGGTAGTTTGACAGACGAGAAAGAAGACGGGGCCGGTGGGGCGGAGCGGGGGTACAGACCCGGCCGAGCGGTCAGCCGTAAGCAGAGACTTAGAGGCTGGGTGGGGGTCTCCGGGCGGAGCTGGTGGCCCATGCACGGGCCCCAGGTGAGTGCCGACCGAGGGGGAGGCGAGGCCGGGAGTGATTGGAGGTGAGTTTGAGGAGTGGGGCGGTGACTTGGACTTTGTGGCCGTTTCGAGGAGACGGCTTTTATTAGACGTGGGCTGAGGAGTGACGAGATCTGACTTAAATCTTAACGCTCACTCTGGCTGCGCCGTTGAGCATAAGCCGCAGGGGTGAGAGCGGAGGCCAGCGTGTCGCGTCCCGATCCGGTGTATTGTCGTGGTTCTGCCGGCAGGATTTGCTGGTGGGCTGGGTGTGGGCTGCGAAACTGTCATGCCGGTTTCTGGAGATGTGGACAGATTGGCGTTGCCGTCAGCTGAGCTCAGACTGGAGTCAGAAGGTTTGAGGTGAGAAGCCGTTTTCCGAGTGTCAGGGCCAGGCCCCTCGGAGGCGTCCGGGTCCGGCTGCTGGGCTGGCCCTCCCTGTCCTTCCGCGACTGCCTCGTGACTCGATTCCCTGGCAGGCAGAGAGCACACCTGGCCTACTTCCAGTTTTTAAAAACTCGCCAAGGTGCGTTTCGTGACCTCGGATCTGTCTTGGCGAATGTTCCGTGTAGACGTGGGAGGAACGTGTGTCCTGCCGTTGCCGGGTGGGGTGTTTGCTAAATGTCACTGGTGCCCGAGAGTTCGCGTCCCTGCCGGTTCCCACCTTCTCTGGTCCTGGGCGGGGGCGGCGGCGTCTCCAGCTGTGACTGCGGGTTCGCCGCCCCCTCGGAGCCATCAGCTTTGCTTCGTCTGTCCTGAAGTTCCGCGTTAGGTGCACGTACAGTGTGTGTTTTCTCGGCGAGTTGACTCTTTTTATCACGTGCTGTCTCTGTTTCGTTCCTGGTTATTTTCTCTGCTCTGAACTCCAGTTCGTCGGGTAGTAATACAATTACTTTTACTTTTTTGTGTCTAGAATATGCATAATATGTTTTCTCTGTCCCGTTATTATATTTGGATAATCATATTTGAAGTGGAATTTTTAAATTAAATTTATCGGGGTGACATTGGTTAGTTAAATAATATAGGCTTCAAGTTGTACGATTCGGTGACACGTCATCTGTACCCTGCATCGTGTGTTCACCACCCAAAGTCAAGTTTCCGTCCGTCAGCGTGTATTTGACCTGCCCCCTCCCAGACGTGGATTTCTCGTAGACATAGTGCTGGTCCTGGTTTTTTATCCATTCGACAGTCTGTCTTTGACTGGTCTAGAGCATTTACGTTTAATACAACTCCTTACGTTTGGAGTCAGGTCTCTCATTTTTTGTGTTCTGTTTAGTCCCTGTCTGTCATCTCCTTCCTCACTTCTGGCTTCTTTCGAGCCGTCTGAACATTATTTCTTACTGCATTTTAATGTCTTGTGTTTTTTACTAAATGTCCAAAATTGTTTTTTCTTTTGATTCCTTTAGGGATTACAAAGCACATACTTAACTCTTCGCCGTCCATTTAGAATTAGTGTTTTCCCGCTTGACGTGCATGTAGACAGTTTCCCGTCTCACAGGTCCCTTTACCACCCGCCATCTGTGACAGTGTCTTTCACTACATTTGTCGAAAACCCTGCCAGACAGTGTTATATGTTTTGCTTTGAACCATCAAGCAAATTTTAAAGAATTCGAGAGAAGAGCCTCTGACGTTTACCTAGATACTGACAGCTGCTTTTGCTCTTTATCCTGTGTTCTCATATTTCCCTATGGCATCCCATCTGTTTTGTTTGAAAAACACCTTTAGCATTTTTGGGGAACAGGCTTCTTGGCAGTGAATCTCTTAGTTTTCCTTCATCTGAAAATGTCTTTTAACTCACCTTCTGAAGACTATTTTCGCTGGATACAAAATTCTGCTTTGATAGATCTTTTTAGCAATTTAAAAATGTTCTGTTTGCTTCTGGCCCCCACGGTTTCTCCTTAGAAACGGGTCATTCCAGCCGTTCTTCCCCGGGCGACGTGTTGTTTCTCTTTGTCTTTGGTTTTCAGCATTGGGGTCCTGTGTCTGGGGATGACTTCCTTTGCGCTTTTTCATTGGGGGGGCTCCCCGAACTCCCTGACTCAAGTTAGGAAACTCACCGAATTTGGAAAGTTTTCATTTTTTCGTTCGAATGTTTTTCAGCTCGGGTCTTCTCCCCTCCGAGAGGCTCATGACGCGCGTGCCAGATCTTTGCCGTCAGCCCTCGGGCTTATTTTCTGACCGCTCCCCCCTCTGTCGCTTAGATGGCATATTTTACCGATCAGTTTCAAGCTCACTGAGTCTTTTCTCACATCTCCTTTTCCGTGTTTGAGTCCACTCTGCGAGTTTTTATTTTAGTTACCGTACTCTGCAGTTATAAATTTTCCGTGTGATTTCTGTGCGTATCTCGTTTCTTTGCCGAGACGTCGCGTTTTCCCACTTGTTTCAAGAGCGTTTCTGGCTGACCTGGGAAGCGTTTTCATCACTGCCGCTTTGAGGCCTTCGTCGGGTCGTCTGACCTCGCCGTCGCCTTGGCGTTTGTGCCGTGGGTCGTCTTTTCCTGGGACCGTCCTGACGCTTCACCTGCCCGCTTGCTTTGGGCCGTGTCCTCGGCGTCTCGAGCACCGTGCCACGGGACTCGGGGGCTCACGCCAGGCCCGTGGGGAGCGCTGGTGTGCGCGGGCGGGTTCGGGCCCCCATTCCCACCCCGCTTCCTTGGGCGTTGGTTCCACTCGGCTTTGTTTCCGGACCCTTCGCAGCGCTGTCTTGACCTGTGCCCCACGTGCGCCACCCGGGAGCCGGTCGGGGCCTCGGCAGTTGTCTCCATTAGTGAGGTTCTGAAAGGCTTTGGTTTGCCCGTTGGTACCCGGTCCAGGGCGAGCACCCCGGGGAGCACAGGTGTCCGCAGCCACTTCCCGGGCCACTTCCCCCAGCGCCTGCCTCTGTCACTGTTGCCTCCCAGGGGTTCTCCTTGTCGTGCTGTGGCCAGAAAGTTGGGGTGCCTGCTGCCCGCTCTCTGGACGGCCCCCACGTCCGATTCCATCTGGTCTTCGCTGCCGCTCGGTGTTACGTCGTCCTGAATTCATCTGCCGCGTCTCACCTCGCGGAGTCTTCCAGCAGCCGCCGCGGGTGTTCTGCCCGGGTCTGGTCGCTGCAGTCACCGACGTCACCGAGAGGGTGCTGGGGCCCTGCTCCGCCTCGACCGGAACTAGGACTCCTGATGACTTGTAGGGTTACGTGTAGGTTTCCCCGTGGCATTAATGGCTCATGTTCTTGGAATCCGTTTCGGTACACGATTCGCCCCTGCGCTTAACGTAGTCGTGCTGTTATTAGAGCAGCTGCTGCATTTTGTACCGAATAACGTCCTCTTGTCATTTAGTTACACACTGACTTTCCGCCCGTGCAGATGAGGTGTTTACTCTTCTTCGGAACCTTGTCCTGCCTGCCACAGACAGCATCGCGGAGTTTATCCTCAGAAGACTCACCGTGGACGAGCTCAGCAGCGTAAGTCCTCGTCGGAGTAACTCGTCATTCCTCCCGTCGACGCTGGCGGGCGCTGTGTTCGACCGAAAGGAAGTCGACCTGCTGGGGACGCAGCTTCAGGGAGCGGGAAATCATTCCGGCTCCATCCGGGTAGTAACTGTGACCGCGGGGAAGTCGATCAGTCCGGCTCCATCCGGGCAGTAACTGTGACCGCGGGGAAGTTGATCAGTCCGGTTCCATCCGGGTAGTAACTGTGACCGCGGGGAAGTCGATCAGTCCGGCTCCATCCGGGTAGTAACTGTGACCGCGGGGAAGTCGGGTCGCTTTTCCAAGCCTCAGTCTCCTCGTCGGCAAAATGGAGACGATGCGTCTACCGCCCAGGGTTGCAGGGCTTTGGACGGCGTGAGGTGCTGAGGGCTCAGCATCCAGAGCGCGGGTTCGCAGGTTGGGGTGGGCCCAGGTGTCGCTGCATTCGTGTCTGTAAAGCTCCCTGAGCGATTCTGAAATGCGTGGGCGCTGGGAAGGGCCCGCCGAGGTGGGAGGGCGCTCTGCGAACGCCGCCTCTGTCTCTGTTCTCCACGCAATCTGTTCTTTCCAGGACATCTGAAAAAGACGGGTAAGTTTCTCTCTGCGTTTCAAGAATGTTATGAAAATATCAATTCTTATAGAAATGCTTATTCTTAATTTTTTTTTGGTTGAAATCCCTAGGGACAGATGTTGACGTAGACTCATTATTGTCATTTACAGTCAGTAAAGTAAGAATTTATACTTAACAACTTTTATTAGAATACCCGGTTTAGTCCATTTGTTTGATAGCCGGTAAGCAGGTATAAAAATACAAAAAGACAAGCTTTACACCGAAAGGCGTGAGATGTTCTGGAAGCTGTAACCCTCTGGACGGGGGTGTTGACCTTCAGCTTTCTTCTTGTTAAGCACCTGTTTACATTTTCCCAACACTTAAGTTTCCAAGAAGCCATTTAATAACGACGTAACTTTCTTGCGTGTTTTGTTCCAGTGTTACTTTATTCTCATCGGTATTATTTTACCCTTTGTTGATGGAAATTTTCAGACATAAACCAAAGTATCGTGAAGCTCCACATACCCATCATCTAATGCGTTTTATTTGGAAATCGAAGCTAAAAATAGCTTAAAAAAGAAAAGGGTTAATAGGATGTTTATCATTTAAATGCAGAGATTTTAAAAAGCAGACTCGGTATATGGCACTTCGAAATTATTTTGAAAAATTCATTCGTGAATAAATGGGGTTTTAGAATTCCCGGTTAAGCGCGTTTGCCGGGAAGCTTAGGGTTTAATAAACTGCGCCGCCCACCCCCCCCA